CAATAATAGAAAAGATACCTTTGAGTTCATAGTAATACTAATTAATGTAGTGGGATCATATCATTCTACCCAAAGTATGTTTTGAGAATGACATGCAACAATAGACCCCAAAAGTCTTTCTTTTCGGATGCATCTTCATATGTATTATTCTTGTAATTAAAATGGGGTAATAATATGCAGATAATATTTTTTTGTACAATTTTTATTTACAACTTCTATATATCATTGAATAAGTGGATGTATACATTGTTAGAAGTCTTAGTAAAGTAAAAAGAGTCAGTCAATCATTAAATGACATTTCATGTTAAATGAAAAAAATTGTATATTAATCATTTCTCACTAAAATATGGTAATACTGGAAATGAGTTTCAGAAAATGATTTTCATACTAAAACTCTTTTCAACTTTTTATTTCTTTAAGGGTTTTTCTAACCTAAGAGTCTTAAAGAAATAAAAAGTAATATTTAATTTATGAACTGTTTAATTAAATTTATGCACATGTCATTAACTCTAAAATTAATGTTTACTTTTACATTTTCTCATACAAATTTATTGCAAAAAGATACCCTTAACCTATGTCTTAAGGGTATAAGTTAGAAAACTCCTTTTTTTTTTTTTTAAGTTTAACTCATCTTTGGAAGTCATTTAATTAGAGCTATCTCTGATAACTTTTTATAAATATGAAACATTAATTATTGTTAAATATGGCAAACATTAAAGATTTAAAAAAACTAATTGTAGAAAATTAATTCTGGAACCTATCAAAAAAACTGTGGAACCTATGATTAAAAAAAAAACTTAATTGTAGAAACCGAAAATGAAATTTTCAACTAAGCTAACCGGGCTACAAAATTAAATTAAAGTCATTGGTTGTCTTCCATAAAAAAAAAAAAAAAAAGTCATTGGTTGTCTAGTTTAATCTGAAGAATTATAATTGGTTTATTTCCTAAATGTGAAGATTTTTAATTTAATAAACCACTAAAAAATGATTACCATTAGATTTTTTAAGTTATTGGTCAATTTTTTCATTTTTTCTCAATCCATACGAGTTTATGCATGAGAAAACCTTGACTTACAACCTTGTTAGGAAAATTATTGGATGGAATAACAACTTGTTAGCATTTGCACTTTCGTATTTGTTATGGTCCTTATGGATTGGGAAGACCTTGACTTACAACTTGTTAAGAAAATTATTGGATATAATAAAACTTGTTAACATTTGCACTTTCGTGATAGTTGTGGATGGGGAAGACCCTGAATTACAACTTTG